ATCATTACTTTAAGATACAAGGACAATATAAACATTCGACATAGAAATTATGATCTATTTTTGTCAAGTAATCTTTGAATTGTAAATTTTTATGGAAGAATTTAATATCTTTAATCCCTTTGATTGCACAAATAAATAAAATCAAGTACCTACATAAAAAATGAAATGCGATCTAGTAGATTGCTCATTTTTATTAATACATATTTACGAGATTAATTATTAGTTGTTTTGTTTATATTAAAGAGCACATAAACATTTAGGTTCGCTTAAACTTAATTCTGCTTCTTCATTAAGGCCCAATTCCACTGCTAATAGTTAAAAAATAAACCAGGTTTAAAATGACATTACACTAAATAAACGTTTTTTTTATACTGTGCATTATTGTTTCCATGTCATAAAAAGTAGTCACAAGGTATGTAACCAAATTTTTTTATTACTTAAATAAATAAAATCTTGAAAATAATAGAAATAGAATGTTAATGAACACCAACCTCTATTTCAATATTTATTCAACTTTACTCATTTTTACTTATTTTAGGAACCATTAAGCTAGTAAATAATAGAAAATTTATTTTAATACTATAAACTTTTTACTTACAAAAACTATAAAAAAAAGGAAATAGACAGTGTGTTAATTTTATCATGAAAAATAATTAAAAAAAAAAACAACTACTGGTAACTAAACGATTAAACAGTACATTAACTTTGCAATACTGACTCCAGGAGAACGGTATAGATGTAACAATGCGTCCAATAATGTATCGCCAACCACGTTACTCTCTTTATTCCTCGCACGACTACATATAATTAAGCGTTTCACCTTTATTTTGCTTGACGCTTTGGTTAACGTACTGTATACTTGATGCATGTTATCTACTTTAGGAATAGCAATATATTTTTGAAAGTTCAAAAATTATATCATATAGGTAAACAAAACGCATTTAAAAAAATAAATAATAATAAACAAGTCTGCTGTCACTAATTTAGTGGATAATTCATTACTTGATAAATGATTATATAGGGTGTTCCTAAAAGCTCTATCAATATAGAAGCAGGTACATTCCTAACTCTCCTTTGACGATTTTTATTAAATTTAGCTGTTATGTAAGAGAATAATTTAAAATAGAATAACTTAATTTTTTTAGGTAATCTAAAAATGTTTTTGGGACAATGAAACTGCTCATTATCTATTTATTAAAAATGGATCAGCTCCAGATTCAATTAAAACAAAAGGCAAAAAAGGAAAATGACAGATTTTCCGCTTTCCTAAAAATCTTTAACATATGTCTTTGACCTATATAGGTGTTTTTACTTCCCTCTATAAAAGGGAAATATTGTAATCGTGAAAAAGTCACCTTACAAGATTATTTCGGATTTTAACGTTTCAGGGTCCCTAGATTAGGAACAACATGTTTCGAAACCAGTTATACTTCCGATCAGTTATATACAGGGTTGGCAGTTTTTAAAAGTCGGCAGATTTTGACTAAAATTAGTATCTGAAAATTTTAGAAGCCAAAGATTACAGATCCTAAATAATTTTTTAAACATTCAAAATGGCGCTGAAAGCAATCGCATTTAATCAAAAAAGGGCCCCCTTAAATGGAAATAATAAATTTTGGTTTGTGTAACTGGGCCATTTTAAAAGCAGCCAATCATTATTGTTCAATAACGGTAATCGTGTCGCGAAGAATACCGAGTGAACGCGAAGTGAGAATTCGGGTGGGATCAAGAGGAAGATCGGAGGAGAGAGAAATGTGAAAACGGGTTTTTGGTTTGGTGGTTTCAATTTTAAATTATTAAAATTTAAGTGCTTAGGAGTTCCCTGTTTTTACAATTTCTGTATCGAGGAAAGTTCTGGGTAAAATACTTTACACCGATTTTTTGATAAAGAAATTTTATGTAATATTTTTTTTATAAAAGGAAATAATATTTTCCTTAAAGACAATTTACTCTGCAGAGGAATAAACAACATTAAATCTAAAATGGTCTAAACCATAAATTTTAATAATAATATATAGATAAGATTTTAATTTTCTTTTAAACAAATTAGGTATGTTTGTGAAGTTTCCCGGAACGATTCTTTTTTTTAGATTGTGAATCATGAAACGTAGAAAAATAAAAAGAAGTTTTAAATGCTGGGTAGAAAATATATTAGGTATCAAAGGTGGAGTTTCGTGGGACAATTCAATTTTCAGATCTTGAACCATAAAACGAAGGAAACTAAATCGTAGTTGAAAATTGCTGGATAGAAAGTATATTTTGCTAGGGGTACAAATTTAACGTAAATTATCATTGTTTTATTGACATACTAAAACCAAGAACAGAATACCTAAGTAACTAGAGTATCGGCGTAACTGTCGACAGGATGAGCTCCATACTGAACACCAGAGAGTTAATTTAAAACTTCAAATCCCATTTAAGAAGGTGCTTTTAACAAATTACATAATATATTTACAATTTTGCCGTAAGAATTCGTCTTAATGTCTTTATTATGTATTTCACTGTTTTAAAAATCAGTTCTTATTTTGAAATACATACTGACAAATTTCAAACATATAAAGTAGTTAGCAGTTAGAATTATATACTGCTTAAATACATTTTTACAGCTGTCTGTATAAGGCCGACCTCCAGGCTATCTCTGAACCCTACGAAGGACAGGACAAGCTACACTCACCTTCTCCAAGATGCCCACACAGTAGTCTGTGAAGAGTATTATAGGTTTACTTTGCCCGATGTCAGGTTTTTTGTCTGCACGATAAGTCAAAAACGAAGAACAAAATAAAAAGCATTGACATGTATGTGCTTTAAAGGCCACGACAGTCAAAATGCCATAATAATGTTGTAAGTAACGTTTTGACATAGTTGATCAATATATTTATATAAATATTATAACATTTTTTCTTCATAACCACAAATTTCGACAGATGTACTTACGTGTTATTGCTTGTAGGCCATCGAAATTTTTGCTATTTAAAAAAAGGTCTTTCCACTTCTTCAAGGATTAAAAATATAACGACGTAGCGAAATTCCGCTACTCCTGGCAAAACTGGACAATGTCCTACTTTCACAAATTTTCTATCACTTAGCTTGAATCACGAATAAAGAGAGCAGGGAAGAGAGACAAATAAAGAAATATCCAAGAATTTTTTTATTTAGATTTCATTTCTTTTTTTTATTATTGAAATTATACATTTTTTTGGAATTGAAACACCCCAAGTGCTAGATATTTTGGTTAGTTGGTAAATTGAAATCCTGATTGAGATATTAATATATTATGTACATAAATTTTCAACATTATTGTAGGTTTTTCTAGCATATTTTTAAACAGAAATATTAGTAATAGACTAGAATATATATGTTAAACTATATTGCCTGTAATGACATTATTTTTTAATTATGTGGAAATAGCACTGCTAGGATGTGGGGATATGATAGATAGAGGGAGAATAAGAGAGTTAGACTTATATATAACCAATATTAAGGGTGTTTATTTTGACAAGGACTAGGTCATTAGGCCTAGAAAATAAAGTGCTAAATTATTTTTAAACTTTATAAAGGATGTCTCAGAAATATTTTTGTTTATCAATACATCCACTGGCGCAATAGGCACATTCCTGAGAAAAGAGGCAGTTGGCAAATGGTGGTCAACAGTGTTAAGTTTTAGTTGCAATGGAGCAATTTATGGGGCTACATCGTGTTTTTGTATTCGTGCGTTTTATTAAAACAATGATTCTTGTGTTCTTGTGCTTCGTTTGTACAGAAATCATTATAACATAGCAAGAATGAATGATGTCCCAACTGCCAATTTAATTAAATATTGGTTAAGAAAGTTTGATAGTACTGGAAATTAAATTTGCACTTGGAATATCTTTCATTCTTGCTATGTTATAATGATTTATGTACAAATGACATACAAAAATATAAGAATCATGGTTTTTATAAAAGACACGAATACAAAAAGCATGTTGCAGCCTCATAAATTGCTCCATTGCAACTTAAACTTAACACTGTTGACTACCGTTTGCCAACTGCCTTCTTTCTCGGGAATGTGCCTATTGCGCCAGCGAACGGATTATAAAACGAAAATATTTCTGAAACACCCTATACTTAGGAGGTCTATTATTTATTAAAAAAGGCTAATCATATAATAGTACTGTTTAAAATAAGAAGAAACATTAATTATATTAATAAACATAGAAGCTATGACTTCTAAGATGTCTTTATATACAACTTAATTTTTTTGACACTGTTTATGTTATTTGTTGTTAGTCATAATGTAAATATTTACATTGTATGTAGGTATGTGATGACCTCTACCTATCCTAGATCTGTGGTTGAAATAATCTACTACTTAAAAAAATATTAATTAGGCTTAAACAGTTTGACCACACTATACATTTTAAGAAAAAGAAATCCTTTACAGACAGCATGGAAATTTCATACAATTTTGTGTAAATTCATTTTTTTTAATGCATATTTGCCTTGTTACTTGAGCTTATTTGTATATGGATATTTTAAAAATGAATAACAATAAGTATAATTGTGAGATAAGTTAATTTTAATACTGATATCACTTTTTGAATTGCATATAAATTATTAAACATATTTCCTTGTAGACCTACTACTTATTCTAAATAATAGCTACCACAGTGTGAGGACCTAATTATTGGACGATCTTAGCATAGAGATGGCTGACAACAATGCACTTCATAAGACTTCACACTGTATTCTCAGTATGTCCCGCTCTTTTAAACTAATAATAATAATTGTCATTTATTGAACTGAAAATTCAGTCCAATAGGCTATTAACCGAAGTCCTTCTGCCTTCAGCTCTTTTAAACATCTACTAATATTGCCATATAGGTATTTGAATTGTAAATGTTAAATAATTTTGTATATATAAATAAGTAGGTATATAAAAGGGAAATATGAATATAACTTTAGTTTTTGTAAAAAAATGGTCGAAGTAGACATGAATAAATAATTATGTTTAACCTTACCCCATTGGCGGCTGCAATCCTTATAATAGTATTAATAGCCTGTTTTGAGAAATATCTCCCATCACCTCCAACAACTAGAGTTGATCCTTTAACTTTGTCATCAAGGGTATTAAATATACACTGTATGAAATTTTCTGTATAGTGCTTTTCCATAAACACTTTAACTTTTTTCCTTAAACCACTCGTGCCAGGCTTTTGTCCCTCAAAGGGTATGGTTTCCACCTCTACAGATGTAAGAGACATTTTGTTTTTTTTTAAACCTAGAAAATATAAAAAAAAGGATGCAACTATGTAATGCAAAACGAGCGTTAGCTTTAGCTGCTGGAATATTATTTAATAAATAAAATAGTGAAATTATATTCAGTTATCTTATCGTTTATATTTTTTAGTTGTTCATAAATAATGAGGTTAGAATATTTTTATCGGTAAAATTTAATGAAAAGCTTACCTTTGTGAGGTAGTATAGGTTATATAGTTATTGTTGATGTATTGTTTATATAAATAAGTAGTTTTTTATAAGTCTATTAGGAAGTATCAATAGATTTCACTTTCCCAATATTTTGAATAGCCCAATGTCATCAGGAGGTCGCCTTTTGCGCAACACCTTTTTGACATTATTTGCCATGTGTATTAATTTGGTTGTGGTTACGTTTTCGTCAGCCGGCTACGAAGTGGTTGATGGAACAGCAATCACAAGTAAAGTTATAATTAGTAAAAATATTATGGAAAAAAATTGAAATTATCTATTCTGAATCTTCTTATAACTAAAGACATAAAAAAAGGAATGGAAATATTTTAAGATTCTTCTTTTATAGTGGGTTTTAAAACCAACTGGAAATCTAAAATGTATAGAAAATAGAATGAACATTTTATAATTGCAATTAACTTTTATTTTACTATATTTAGATTTAGTAACTACAAAAATACTTGTTAAAAAAATGTTATCTTCAAATATACATTATAATTATTATATTAATGGCTTTAGAAAAAATGAGAGCATATTTTAACTTTTTGAAAGTATTTTCAGAAAAACTGACATTTTATTACCAATTTGATAATGTCAAAGTTTAAACTTTTTAACAACAAGGCACCGTTATGGCTTCCGTTGAGAGCGGATAACAAAAAGGTTGCAAAGTACCACGCCTAATGGTCATTCACTGTAGATTAAATCTGTATTTTCAATTTTTAAATTGGTTAAATTAAATTAATGGATTATAATAACTGATTAACGTTTTTCAAATGTACTTACGGTTTATTCGGTTACAGATAACTCTTTGATTCCTTATTTAAGTGCAAACTGCAAACGTTTCATATCAGTAGCAATAAAACATGAAATATTGCTGCAAAGCAAAAATATTTTGAAACATTGTCTATTGTCTGTAAACTCTGTTTATGCCAATATAGTTAGCGTAGAATTGATAAGGTACTTACTCATAATATGTAAAATAAAATAATCGCCGGTAATTAAAAAGACGCTTGATTTGTTTTCGTATATTTTGTTTGGGAACATAATTAAATATTAATATAGCAAAAGAAATAGCAGAAATTGGAAAGGAATATTGTTAAGAGACGAACGAGTTTTAGACAGAAAAACATTGTCATTATGGAGTGACGGATTGTTTAACGAGTGACGAAAGTCGAGTAACGAGGGACGAGTTTTTTTGCAAACGAGAGAACAGTTTATCAAACGAGGCGCAGCCGAGTTTGATAATGTTCTCATGTTGCAGAAAATGCTTTTCGACGAGTAAAACACTACACTTTTTCTATAACCATGGCCTACTATATAGGATGTACAAGAAGTTTAAATGAGTTGAATTATCTTTAAAGTGATCTCGACGAAATCTGCGATTTAGGGGTAAACCCCGCTTTACCATGTTTGTTTTGGCATCTCCCTTTATATTATAATTGAACTTTTCCTTTATAAAATCCTAAAAATGAATTCTAAGGACTGCAACAATAATTTTATAATATCGGAAATAATTGCAACCACTCACTTTCGTCACTATAGAGACGAAAGTTAACGTTATGGGATATTCTATCACTGGTGTCCATGGGCGTCGTTAAACAATTCTATAGGGGGGGCAAAATTTTGAAAAAAATTTTAGAATGTTTATTTGTTGGAAAACAAAGGAAATGAAAAATAAAAGAAAATTTTCTTATGATGGATTTAATTTTTCTGTGACGTCATGGCTTACTTACAGCTTTTCCAGAAATAACTGAAAATCGCAATTTATTTTTTATTTTTAAATGAAAACCATTTTTTTATTGAAAATTTGAATTTCTGGGACATTTTTGGGGCGTGTATAGAACATTTTCTGTAACATAATAAAAAAAAAATATTTTCCAATATGATGGTCATTTTGACAGCTGACAGAAAATTTTCAACTCATGATTCTTTTCGATAAATGTTCCCGAAATTCAAAATTTCAATAAAAAAGGGGGTTTCTATTTAAAAATTAAAAATAAATTGAGATTTTCTGTTAATTCCGAAAAACCAATTGAATTCAGTATATGACAGTATTTGTTCCAAGCTTTTAAACAAAAAAGTTTTCATTCCAATAATCCAATATCTCAATTAACAACGAAGATAAAAGCGGATGGAATTATTATACGGTTTGCTAATAATAAAATTGCTTAGATGTGCCACTGGTATACGATAAATGGGTCTAAATGGGAATTTTGAAGCTTACAAAGATTTTATAAAGATCGTACATTCCTATATTTTTTTCCATAAACGAATTAATAGTGACGTTTAGAAAAAATATTATCCAATATGGCGGCTATTTTGACAGCTGACAGAAAATTTTCAATACATGATTATTATACAAAAATTTTTAAATTTACAATAAAAGAGAGGGATTCCATTTAACAATAAAAAAAATTCGATTTTCGTTATTTTCGGAAAAACCGGAAGTAAGCCAGGACGTCACAGAATAATTGAATCAATCATAAGAAAGTGTTTGTTCCAGTCTTTCAAACAGAACAAAATTATTCAGATATCTCACTGAATAGTGAAGATAAGGGGAGTGGAACTTTAGTAGTAACCCTAAGAATGTCACTGGCCCATTTGACAGAACTGATACTTAAGTTGTCCTAACAAGTCTAATAAATAAAATAACCAATCAAAAAAGACAAAAACTAAAATAAAAAAAAAAACAAGAAACTTAAAGCACATTTTTAAAAACAAACAGAAGGTGTGATATAAAAGAAAAATATGAACATAATAATATTAAAAATAAAAATTTATAAAAAACAAAAACATAAAAAAACTCACTCAAATATGTCAATGAATACAAAAAAACACTAGGAAAACGCAAATTTTAAATTTCTTTTTTCTCTACTAAAAACATCGATAACGGAAAACATTTTTCAGTCAGCCTATTTTCATTCATATCCACTCCGTGCGTAACAGCAACGCCAACTATTTTATGAACTAACGGACGATATTTGCGTATACTGACAATACAATTTTTAATAGAGTTCGTAATTAAGAAATATATATGTTAATTTTAATTTTAAAACAAGTGAAAAAATTATTATTATTATATATTTTTATTACTTTAGCTAAAAAAGTCAATAAAAATCATAATAAAACATAGGCAGGTATTTACATTTTCTCGTAAATAGAGATCTTGCCTAAGCATAATAAGTTGTCATTGAAGAATAGGTTAAATAATGTCAAAATAAAAATATTACCATTATATAATAACGTAGAATTAAAACGTAATAACAAAAATATTTGGTATATTCGCGATTGTAATTTATATTTTCTTCATTTTTAGTTCGAAAGAACCCATAGAAATTAATGAATAAAACTGGTTTCCTATCAATAAGTCACAAGATTGCATGTCAGCCATATACAATAATTAAAGGCAGAAATCTAATCATTTACTAAACATTTAAGATTTAAGGGATGTTAAAGAATATCATAAAAAAATTATTTATTGCTTAATTATTACAAAAATAAAGGTTTTTTTGTTCTTATTATACAGCTGTCCATTTATTTCTTTTATTTAATTTTGTTTTTGCTACTGAACATTCATATAATTTACAGTCTTTTTGCTAGTATATATAGCAACTCCGGTTGCTCATTTTATTGTTTTTACCTATTTTTTTAATAAAAAGTAAAATGTATACGTGTATTTGATATGCCAAACTTACAAAATATCGCCCTAAAATACTCGAATTATCTGCAGCTTACGCTAGTATCGCTTTTGCTACCCCTACCATGACTTCGCACTGATCGAATAGACCGCAGCCATGTTTTAACATGCCTTAGCGTTCCAAACGTTCTTTCGATTAACTCTGTCGTTGGTGGAAGATCCATAAATATTTTTTAAACTATTTTGTATGTCCAAATAAAATTCACAATATTTGGACGCTATATCATCAATGGAGAGCTCATTGTATGCAGAAAGCTCTTTCGTATTCCAGTTTGGTATTCAGCTTCAAAATTGTCGATTCCAAATTTTTCCACCACTCTCATTCTGTTATCGGTAGTGAAAAAGTATTTTTTATGTTTTTGGGATGTAATATGCTTAAGGAAAAACTAACAAAGTCTTCGGAAAAGCGGAACCCAAATATGCAATAAATATATTCAACCTATAATATTCTTCAACTATATTAGCCTAAATATTATTTCTATGAGATTGTTGTTCGTAATGCATATCTTATGCGTTGTTGATTAAGCCGTAAAAGCCAGGGGGGGGGCAACTGCCCCCCCTTGCCCCCCCCCCCCCCCCCCCCCCCCCCCCCAAACGACGCCCATGCTGGTGTCGGAACTGGCGTTTACGGTTGGAGTAAAACGTGACGAAAGTTGTTGATTTTTAAATGGTTATAGAAAAAAATATTTCTAAAAGTAGGCAATGAAAAAAATCACATACAATTTAATTACAATTAAAAAAAATAATAGTTAGGATTTTATTCGGAGGTTTTTAGTAAATAGAATCAAAAGTTTTAAACGACACTTTCGTAAAATTAAATTTTAAGTGAATTTTAAATTTAATAATTAACAGCCATTTTACAGTTCGGTATTTTCCTTGCTTGCAAGTAAAAGTGCGGTAATTCGTATTGCTCGTTTGTTGCATTATATAACACCCTTTCGATCAGCTGTTGTAATTTTTATTGGAATTGCAGAAAATGACAATAGACAGAAAATTTGTTGCCGCCATTCTTATTGAAATCAGTGGAAAAATGGCTGAAATGAGTCTCCAATCAGTTTAAAAATCCCTAAACTATACATTTTTGCCATTTGACATTAGTGCAACGCAGTAAGGCGTAAACATGGTAAAATCTCGGAATCCAGGACCAGTTAATGAATGTTCATAAAAACTGTTGGACTACATTGTTAAAAGCTCAAATAAAAAGTTAAAAAAAAAATTGTGCGATCTTGATTACAACAATTTATAACAACAATTTTCAGAAAAATGAGAGGGACAAAAGGGAAAAAATGTTTAGAGCAAAGATTTCAATTTTATACCTAATAAATAATATTTGCATAGTAACTTTAATGTTAATTTATTAATATTTCGCAAACAATTTCACCAGCAGCCTTTAAAATGCGATATTCTTCTTCTTCACTATCTTTCGACCTTTGATTGTACCAGTTATCGGACAATATTTCGTATTCCTTTTATTGTATTAGATCCAAATTTGCTGGAAAATACAATATTATCCTCATAATGGTTCATTAGTCTCATTTTTATTGTTTTACCATTGGGAATATGATCAGTTGTTAAAATACTTTTTAATTCTCTCAGTAAAAACTGGCAGTCATTGTTTTCCTCAATGTGTTTAAAAATCTGTTCCATTGCTGCGTCTACTTGGATTGTTACTGGTTGAATTTTTTTCTCCCTCTGGGTCTGTTTTATGGTAGTTCTTAAATGTACGTAACAATCCGTGTGATATTTAGCTCCTATTATTATTATTATATTTAGCAACTAAATCTAACACGCCAACAATTATTGCGAAAATATTCACTTTTTTCTCAACTTATTAAATTTAATTGTTTTCTTGTAAGGGGGCGTCCATTAATTACGTGAGGTATTTTTGAGGATTTTTTGACCCCCTCTCCCCCCCCCTGGTGAGATTTCGTAAGATTTTCCTCAACTCCCTCCCCCCTCCCCTAATCTCTCGTGAGATTTTTCAAAATTTGTGTTTTAGGTGTAAATGCGTTGGATTATTAAAAAAACAAACACAATATGTTTTATTACTTTTATTTAAGACTAAAAATTTCTAGAAACATTCTTTACTTTAATTTAATTTTCACGCAATTTTACACCGTTTTCTACTAGAAAAAAAATACGTCAGATTTACAAAGACCCCTCTCCCCCAAGTGAGATTTGGAAAGATTTAGCTTGATCCCCTCCCCCCTTGAACACCTCACGTAATTAATGAACGCCCCCTAATCAGAGGAAGTTATATAGCTGATTTGTTGTTTTGACAATTTGAACTTTCTTCTTTCCTTCTGCTTCTTTTTCACATAAAAAACACCTACTTTTCCAATCAAAGTCAGTTGCATTCAGCCGTTCGAAGTTTTTTCTTTGGCGGAGAGCATGCTGTTGTGGTTTTTTTCTTTTTTTAATAAGCATTAATGCCTCCTATTGCTGCGTTTGAATATCCGATGCATTTTTTACATCTCAAACGTTTGTTTATCCACATCGGACACATCTGTGTCCTACTACATTTACGTATATTGATCACGTGATTAAAGATTTACAACATCTCAGATGCATCCGATGTGGATATTCAAACGCAGTATTTATTGATATATTATCCGCTCTTTCTGCAGAAGCAGATTTCAGCGTTGATATTCCTCTTGT